GCTCGCGATCGGCCAGCGATGACGACGAAGAGGAGAGTCGACGTATGAGCAAAGCGACGTCAAACCTGTCGCCATCGCCCAGTCGTATCACTACCAGCACCGGCACCGAAGGCAGCGCTCCCATCGCTTTTGATATGTCCAATCGGGCCAAACTGCCCAAAGGCATCGAAAACATTCGCCCGCATCTCGAAAACGTGGACAACGTTCCGCTGTTGGTCTCGCTCTTCACCGATTGTGTGCCCGAAGCGACCAAAGATATGATCAAAATAATGCAAGAGTACGGAGAAGTGGTGTGCGTTGTGGGCAGCGCTGCCAACATTGCCAACGTTGCCATCTTTCTTCAGGCGGACGCCAGGTATGCCATCGATTGTCACTTCCATATCATCGTAAGAGCGCTGTTTATAACTGATGTCTTAACTGTTTAGCATTGGTGTGGAGCCGATGTACCCGCAGGTGTGCATAACGGAGCCCATCAAAGAGGCCGACGGTTACATTGAATCTCTTCCGGACAACTTCATAGGGCCGACGGATTTGGCCCGACAGCTGGTGACACTGCCCTGTTCTCTGTCTCTCTATCGCCAAAACTCTATGATCTTCTATCAACTCATTCTCGAAGCGCGTCATTATATGCTTAAAATGCGAAACTGTTTCCAATTCTTCCTCAGCAGTTGTCTTAGTCTGAGTTTAGCCCAACTCTTGACTTCACTGCTATTCCTGCCGCCGCTTCTCTCTCCCGGTGTAGTGCTGTGGTTGGCCTGTATTGTGTTGCCTATTCTCAGCTCATCACTGATGGGCACTCATATGGACGACAAAGTGATGACTATCGCCACCGGAAAGAAATTGCATTTAAACAAAGAGGTTCTTATCGTTTCAAATGATAATTACTTTTGCGTCGATTAGTGATAATAAATGTTTGTCAATGAATTGATATCTATTTTTTACAGAGTATACTATACTTCTTCATGTGTTACTTAATTAAATTCGCGCCATCAGTATTGGTGAGTGTCCTGTGCTTTGGTTTAATTATTGGCCACTCGTGTCACGACATGCACGTGGGTTTGCTAACGGCTGGTCCGTGTTGGATGTTCAGCGATGTTAAGTGAGTGCCTATTATTTGATCCCATGGTGATCACCACTAATAGATATAGCAATTGATATTCATATTGATGTTACTTTTAGAGCCAACATTACCGGCGAAACTGATGACTTCTTCTGGTCCTCACGGCTACTGATTGGTCAGACAATTGCCTCATTGTTTCTCGTTTTATACATCGGTTCGTTGTTTTAATTGTTTAATATTTTTAGTATTGAATTGGAAAATGATTTTTATTTCCAAAATGTATTAATTCTAGTAATCATATCAATCGGTTTTGTTCACCGAAATCATCTCATTTGGCAGAGAAGTCCGCTGACCAACAAGTGGTGGATATTTATATCGATCGGTCTGTTAATTAGTCACGCGTTGCTCTGTTTGATTGAAATCAGTTTATACGTGCGGTCGACACAAATCGCCACCCAATTCATCGCTTCCATTCCCGTCTACGTCTGGTGTCTGGGCTTTCTGTGGCCA